AATAGACGGTGACATTGTGATTGGGTCCATCTAAGCCGCCCATTTAGAATGGACGGTTGGATAGGGGAAAGTATAGAAGTTTTATGCTGTAAGTGAAGCATAGAAAGCTTGCCCAAAAAGCAATGCATCAAACAAACGCATTGCACTCCATCCATTAATGCAAAAATCCATCTTAAAAAAGTACAACATATAATATTCCATTAATAAGCCTAATTTTGTGAGTGGATCAATCTGCATGCTCGTTTCAGGCACATAGAGAGAGATAATTTTGCCATTTCAAACAAAGTATATGTTTCACCATAATCAGAAAAACACTACGTCAAAAAACAGGTAAACATATCCAAGTACGACTTGTTGATTATATTTAAATATATATTTTACTTTGCTTAAAAATTTGTAGTTCAAGCATCTAATTATTGGAACTGCATTAAGTTGCCTATTTAAATTTAAACCAGTGTGCCCTTTCATCCTCATCCATCTTCAAGAATGCTTGAGCTTCTCCAGCTTCAAAATGATTGAACAATACAAATGAGTCAGGAGTAAACACTTTTGAACCTGTCAGAGCACCAAAGCTTATTCCTTTATTGTAATTTATGTGGAAATAACTCAAGGCTCTCTTTGGAGTGTATTAGCTAGCTAGCATTTAGGACAAGTATTGGCCTACATGTGACTTAGTTCAAGTCAATGCTTTAATATATAATTGAGGTCGATACTTTAATATATAATTGAGGCTCCCTTTAGAGCTTGGCACTTACTAGCATTTGGAAAAGTAATGTTCTACCACATTGCTTTGATACAATGAATGCCGTATACATATTTTGCTCTTATATCGTTGGTTTTTTTGGTTCCTATCAACAGGGAGGATTTTGAGAAGATAGGTATGAGCCAATTGATTACAGTAAATGTCCGGGACATCCAAGGTGAGGGCTTCCCAGAGAAGTTCGAGGGGACTATAGATTCAGTTTTTCTAGACCTTCCCCAGCCTTGGCTAGCCATTCCATCTGCAGGAAAGATGTTGAAACAGGATGGAGTTATTTGCTCATTTTCTCCATGTATTGAACAAGTCCAACGTTCATGTGAGGCACTAAGATCGTCTAATTTTACAGGTATTTCTTCCTTTTGTTTCTGTGTAATATATGATGCTTTTGATCGCTAATACAAAAATGCCTATATATGAGGCACTTATTGATAATGGAAAGAACAATTTGAGTGGTCTTTCAAACTAGAACTAGGAGTTGAGTGGCTGAATTGAATATAGATATTTGAACTGGTTCCTGCATATATTTCTGTATGATATTAATTTAATTGGTGAATTAGTAGGGAACTAGGAATATGAAAGGTTTTCAAAAAACAACGTAGGACAGTTGTGAGACCAGCTTTGCTTTATGGGCCGGAATGTTGGGCTGTCAAAAAACAAGATACCCATAGAATGAGTGTAGCGGAGATGAGGATGTTGAGATTGATAAGCGGCAAGACAAGAAGGGACCAAATCAATAATCAACATTCGCTTAGCCTCAAGATTTGTCCACAGATAGAATCCGAGGAGAAAATTTCTCGTGTTCCTAATCTAGTGTTGTGGGGTGGGGAATCTGATGTATCCGATGTTTTGTACTTATGTTGTGGGTCAATGAATAGGCACCTGGTAATCCAATGCAGAGCCATTGGCAAGCGGTAACGAATTTCAAAGTTGTTGGGAACGGGAGATGGTGCAGGTGTGGGTGTGGGTGCGGGTGCGGGAGCCTGAGATCGACCCTTGGCTGAAGCATCCCTACCCTTGGAGCGCTTGGGACTGCTGCTCACGGAGTAACTTGGGAGCGATCTCCTATATATGCACTACATGTACATGGGAGCGCAATGGGAGCACCGCATGCATTTTGTGTTTGTGTGCGTGTGTGTGTGTGTGCATATTATTTTTCTATATATATTATTCCAATTTATTTATATATAGAAAAAATAATGTATATATGTATATATTTATAGAAAAAATACTATATATATATATATATATATATATATACACACACATATAGTACATGTATTTATGCATAGTATTCTCTAATGTTGTCTGTATATGTTATTGCATTACCTGAATCATAATCATATATATATATATATATATATATATATATATATATATATTATTGCAATTACCTGAATCATAAACCATAAATGTATGTGTGTGCATATACTTACAAATATGTCCTATCAATTTTTCAGAAATGATATTTTTAAAATAAAAGAATGATCAATCAATCTTTGAACATTATCAATATGCTGGATACATGCTAATAAGAACTTTATTGCTAGAAAGTCCCATAAATACTTACACAATCCAAAACAAGAGTGCACTTACGAGTCTATAGGGTACACTTACAGAGAGTGCACTTCGAGTATGTAGACATAAGAGAGTCTATAGACATAAGCAAATGACATGCATAAGAAAATCACAGAATCCAAAAATATTTTCTATTATAAACAGAAGATGAGAAGAATTTATACGAAGTGAAAGAGGCATTTTGTGTTAGCAAAATAGAATGTACAAAAATCTTAATAATTGAAAATCAAGGAAAGGATTTAGGAAGATTTGATACAATAAATGCATGAAATGATATTAAATTGATTACTTAGGAAATGAAAGACATAAAGGGCATTATGAAGTCCACGAAAATTTGTCATTATGAAATCCAAAAAAAGATTTTCTACTATAAACAGAAGTCTTTAAATGAAATAGTAAATATATCAGTGAAAAATGTCATTATTTTCATGCATTTTCAAATAACATATACAAAAAAAATCGTAAATTGAGTAGACACTTTTGAAAGGTAAAAGACATTTTTGTGTTAAAAAAATGTAAGGTATGAAAAATATTAATAATTGAAAAATATGGAAAATATTTTAGGGAATCTTTGAAGTGAGATACAATAAATACATGAAATGACAGAAAGGTGATTAAGAAATGCAAGGAAAATTTTTTTATTATAAATTACATATTTTAAATGAAAATGAAGTGAAAAATGCAAATGTATGAAATAATTCCATCATCAAAATACCCTTGGAAATAATATAAAATAATAAAAATCATCAATTAAGTAGACAATTTGTAGGCGTGGATCAAGATCCTTCACAATCAATGATCAAGATCCTTTATGTTAGGAACCCAGATCCCAATAGGTATCAAGATCCCATGATGGGAGGAAGCGAGTATCACTCGGGCTCCAACTCTGGGATCACCGGATCAAGATTCTAGGAGGGGATTGCCACCTCTTGAACAAGGTCCCCTCAACTATGAAGAGGATATATTTTGAAACCTCCAGAGCACTTTGACTCAAATGATATGTTCCCAATGTACTGACCTACGGTTACAAGAATAGAGAGACGCTGATGAGGAGCAAGCTTGGAGTGCGAGTTTGGGTCACATGTTCTTGCGCAAAGGAGGCGCTATCTACTGATATAGCAAGAAACGATTGTGCACTGCTCCTTCAATACCTCGAGGTTCACCCTGGTACTTGGCTCTGCAAGGGACTGAGGCCGAGTAGCTTGGCCCAGTTCAGAGTTAGAGGTATGACCAGGTGACACAAAAGTTGAGACTGATGCATGTCTATGGCTACACTAGGCCCTCATGGTGTTTGGGGTCCATTCTACATCCTAGTACCAACTCCACCATGAAATGCGACTAATTTCACGTGCTACATGGGGACTGAAAATAACCCACATGAGTGGAAGAAGATCCCTTGTTCCTTTTATTGTCTTATGAGAACCAGTTTGTAGGTAACTTAGGGTGCCTTGTGGGCCTTAGATCATATAGACCATTGCTACCTAGATTTCCTAAATTGAGTGTCGACTCTGCTCCGAGTTCTTGCTTCGGTGGTCCCGGATGGGGACCTCGATCCCCACTTCTTAGGGTTCGTTCACCGCCACTCAACAAGAGGCAATAAGATAATTCATTTGGATATTACTTGCTATCATTCTCTCCCTCTCTCTTTCTCATGCTTTTGGATGTTGTAAAATCTAACATTGCAAATAAAGCAACTTATTATGCATTGGGTTTGGGATGTTGTAAAGTGTGAACTTATAAGCAAAGCATATTTTTGTTAATAAAAAATCAACTCCGTTGTATTGTTATCCGCTATGCCGATGTGCTTCATCACAATATTCTTTTGTTTTATTATGTATGATTATTGTTAATAAATTATATCTCATAGGGATGTAAAAATATTATTTATTAATGAAATAAAATTTAGTTAATAAATAGTTACTATTTTAGTTGCCCATTTTTATTGTATCTTATGGGATTGTTGGGTTTTATATTTAATAAAAATTCTGATTTTTAATAGTAAGTTAAAGAGGTATACAACATGTGCTCCCAACCTCGGGAGCTTCTTGCTTGTGTTGTCCCGTTGTTCTTGCCACTGCTCCCACTTCAAGTAACTGTGCTTTGAATTGCATTAGGAAGTGATGACCAATGTTTTAAAATGCGGGATGCGGCTCTGATGCGGTGGGGGGGCGATGCGGCTCGGATGCCGGTGCATCGAGATGATGCGGTCAATAAATGTAAAAAAATTCTAAAAAATCTAAAAAAATAAGTTAATACATAGAAAAATATATGAAGGTGATATATGTGATAGTAGTATTTTAGTTTAGTGATTAACTTCAAAACTATTAGCTGTCGGAGATTCTGTATCCAGTTATCCACTATCCCCTGATAGAAACTAAAAACTTGAAACCAACTTCATAAAACATTCAACAATCAACAACCATCAGCACAAATTTGCACCCTAAGCACAACTATAATTAAGCACAACCATCAACAACCATAAGTACAACTATAAGCACAAAATAATGATATTACAAAATACAAATCAAAAGTCAAGCTCAAGAAGAGTTAATAGTTAATAAATAATAACTTAGTACAATCATCCATTTTGAGAGTCAAATTTGAAATTTGAACTTCATTTTTTCAAATATCAATCAGACAAGTCATCTTGAGAGTCGTCATGCGCATCATCAATATCATCCTCGATGCCCTCCATGTATTTTTCTTCATCGGTCTCCTATGAGTCAGCTTCCTCCTTGACCGTTGAAGCTAATGTGCGAGTGTGACTAGACCTAGCAACTCCTCTACTCCTTTGTGCTCTAGTGTTAGGTCGATCTTCTTCATTTGCCCCTGTTGCTAGCTCGACATCAAGCCATTTAAGATCGTCACCCTTAAAAACACGCCCTTGTCTTGGATCCATGGTCCACTCACTGAATCACCATCAGCTTCATATAATTGAACAGGGTTGAGCTTCGTGCGATTTTCATACTCCCTAAGCCGCTTGTTATATCGCACATAAACCAAATCATTCAACTTTTTCTGCTCCAACCTATTTCTTTTTTTTGTATGGAGCTGTGGTAGAAATTTGAAATCAGATAAATTAGATTTTAGATTAGAAAATTGAAATTCAGGAAATAAGGATTAAGGAATAAGGAGTAAAGGACTTACATGCTCAAATGCACTCCAATTGCGCTTACAACCAGATGAGCTACATGTGAGATTCAACACTCGAATAACGACGTTGTAGATTTTGTGTCTCGCTTCCATATAATGCCCACCATGCAGCTGTATATTATTTTATAGTTTAGAATATAGCTAAAAATTAAGGGTATAAAATAAACAATGGAACTATACATAAAGTAAGAGACAAGTAAGATTATTTTTGGGCTTTTGGCCTTTACCTGGATCTGTAGTGTCCCTATTTCGAATGGCAATATCTTTCCCAAAGTTTCCCAAGGCTAACTTGAACTTAATCAATTCATGGCTCTGGATCTCATCTTGGATATCTTTGTCTGGCACCAACCTCTCTAACACATCTAAGAACCCACCATTTATTACACGATCTGACTCAATGGATGGGTGCTTGTAGTGAAGAGATGGGTTTAGAAAATAACCAGCTGAATGGAGGTGCTTGTGAAGCTGGGTATCCCATCTCCTATCAATAATTTCAAGTATAGCCTTGCGCATATTTTCATCATTCTTTAAAACATATTTTATTTCATTTCTTGCCCTAGTCATTGCCTCATGTATGTAGCCCATGTCGGGCTTCGCATCACCATCAACCGGTCGAAG